TTGCGTGGGAGAGGCAGAGCCCTTCCAGGTGTGGGCCAAGCGGCTTCACTACAAGCAGTGACACAGCTGCCGTGTGCACAGGCTTGTGCCTCCTCTCCCGAGCCGGAGCCGTGGCAGGAGGCATGGAGACAGGCTGACGGTCTCCATGTTTCCCCACACAGGGCAAGACTCCAGAAGCTGGCCTCGTTTCAGATCTGCAGAGGAGAGAACCTAACGCCAGCCAGGAGGAGCAACCAGGTCTGGGTGCAAAGTGGTCTTGGCACACGTCGCATGGTAGAAAGGGTGTGTGTGTGCGTAATTAGGGAGTAACAGGAACTGGTCCATAATTAAAGCTGCTACCAAGTTTCCATTATAAACTCAGATTTGTCACCCCACCTAAAACCCACAAACCAAAGAAATTGCAGGCTCAGAATTGGGAGGCTAGTTCTGGGGCAGAGGTCGAATTTCTTTGCCACCTTGGAAGTGAATTGCCCAACCTGCTCCTTAGCTATAAATGCTCCAAAATAGCGTTCTCCACAGCCCCAAAACGCTTCAAACGCTGGTTTGCCCTCCATAGCAATCAAGCCCTGAGAGCAGGAGGAAGATAAAATGTAGCTCCCTTGCCCGGGCTGAGATGCAGTGCGCAGCCCCAGAGTCATTCCGTCCAGTCCCCTGATCCAACTCCCATTGGCTTGGAGGGCACCAGATGCCTGCTGGAGACCTTAAGGGCCCAGGGTATGTCTACATTATGGGGACTATATCAGCATAGCCCCCGTGTGTAGATGCAGCCTATGCCAATGGAAGGGGTTTTCCAGTCGCTGTAGGAACTCCAGTTCTTCTTCGAGTGCTTGCGCATGTCAATTCCAATAAGGTGTGTGCACACCACATGCACAGTCATCAGAAAGTTTTCCCTTAGCAGCTCCCATTGGGTTGGCTGTGGGGCCCCCTGGAGTGGTATCTTCATGGCACTCAATAAATGACCCACAAATATATTTGTGGACAAATTGGAGAGAGTCCAGTGGAGGGCAACGAAAATGATTAGGGGGCTGGGGCACATGACTTATGGGGAGAGGCTGCGGGAACTGGGGTTATTTAGTCTGCAGAAGAGAAGAGTGGGGGGGGGGGATTTGATAGCAGCATTCAACTACCTGAAGGGGGGTTCCAAAGAGGATGGAGCTCGGCTGTTCTCAGTGGTAGCAGATGACAGAACAAGAAGCAATGGTCTCAAGTTGCAGTGGGGGAGGTCTAGGTTGGATATTAGGAAACACTATTTCACTAGGAGGATGGTGAAGCACTGGAATGGGTTACCTAGGGAGGTGGTGGAATCTCCATCCTTAGAGGTTTTTAAGGTCAGGCTTGACAAAGCCCTGGCTGGGATGATTTAGTTGGGGATTGGACTAGATGACCTCCTGAGGTCTCTTCCAACCCTGATATTCTATGATTCTATGGCCCCTCCTCAGTTCATTCTTATCGCCAGTGATGGTCGTTGGAACTGTAGTCGCTTGGTTAGCAAGTAGGGTGACCAGATGTCCCGATTTTATAGGGACAGTCCCGATTTTGGGGTCTTTTTCTTATATAGGCTCCTATTACCCCTCACCCCCGTCCCGATTTTTCACAGTTGCTGTCTGGTCACCCTAGTAGCAAGTGCTTCCCTTAGCGTTCTTTCATATAGTTAGCTTAGCCTTGTTTAGTTGTAGTTAGTCTTAGTTGTTAGTGTATCTATTGTATATAGTGAGGTTTGGGAGCGTGGTTTCCTCAGGCTCTGGGGCATGCCGCGAGCCCACAGCTTTAAACCCTGTGGAACCTGCAGCAAGCCTATGCCAACGAGCGACCCCCTCGACTCGTGTCTGGGGAAGATGCACCAGACAGAAAGGTGCAAGATGTGCAGGGCTTTCCGCCCCAGAACTAAAAATGAGCGAGATTTCCGATTGAAGCAGTTGCTCATGGACTCCGCCCTTCATCCCCAGTCTGCTGCGGATCACCAGGACCCTGCCCCGAGCATGTCCGCAGGGAGTGCCCTGGCATCGGTACATGACACGGTGCTGAGGAAGGACTCTAGTCTAAGAGACCCTCGGCACCGGCACTCTCCGGCACCGCAGGATGCACAGACAACCTGGCGCTGAGAGAGGACCGGCACTGACCCTTGGCACTGGACTGTCGGCACCAGTCCCCAGCACCAGATCCATGACACCAGATTCCTGGTTTTGGTCCCCAGCCCGAGCGTCTCGACACCGGTCCCCTGCATCATCAACTTGGCACAGGTCCCTGGCGCAGTACCATGCAGCGCCACTGTGGTCATCTCAGTCGAGATCTTCGGATTCATGTGGTGACTCGTACTATTCCCGTCACAGCAGGCACAGATCCGACAAGCGATGGAGGGAGGCACCAATGGCATGGCAACCCCAGTGGCAGCCTCCGGTGCAATGGCCTTCTTGGACTCCCTGGGCTCCTGTTCGGTGGCCTCGGAGCACCGACTACCCAGACAGCCAAGGACCGGCCTATGCCCCGGGGATCTGAGGTGACCTTGACGCAAGCCCCACAGCCGGCTCAAGTCGCCACCGAGGCAACTCCGAGGCATGACTCATTGCAAGGCCAGGCTACTGTCACCTCGGCTATGGTCGCCATAGAGGCCCCAGACGCTGAACAGGAGGAGATCAGGGATCCAGAGGGTCAGGAAGACCCCGTCAACCTCTCGCCTCCTCATCTTTGTCCCCGGACAAAGCGGTGGCAGGAACTTCAACCTCAGGCCCTCCCCCAGTTGACCACAGGGCCCACCAGGACTTTCTACGAAGGATTGCCTGTAAGATGGGGTTACAGGTGGAGGAGGTGGTCGAACCCAAAGACCCTATGGTCGACATCCTTGCTCCAGAGGGACCGTCCAGGGTAGCTCTGCCACTGATAAAAACTATCCAGAGCAATATTAAGACTCTGTGGTAGACCCCTGCCTCAATCCCGCCCACCGCCAGGGGGATAGAGCGTAAGTAATTTGTTCCCTCCAAGGGGTAGGAGTACCTGTTCTCTCACCTGCAACCATGCTCCCTCCTAGTATCGGCAGTGAATGAGAAAGAGAGATGGGGGCAGCAAGGGCTGGCCCCTAAATCCAAGGAGTCTAAAAGGATGGACCTTTTTGGCAGGAAAATCTATGCAACTCGTGGGCCTCCATGTTGAAGATTAAGTCGCTGATTCCACCAGACTCCAGAGCCAAGTTCTCCACTATCATTGATGAAGGGAAGGCAGTGGCGTGAACCTCCCTCCAGGCTTCATTGGACTCGGCTTCCCGCACCCTTTTCTCAGGAGTAGCCATGAGGAGGAGCTGAAGGCTACAGGCATCTGGGTTGCCCCCGGAGCTGCAGCAAACCCTGCAGGACCTACCATTCGAAGGCACAGGGTTGTTTCCGGAGCAAACAGACTCCAAGCTGCACAGTCTAAAAGCCTCACGGGTGACTATGAAGTCATTGGGTATGCACACCCTGGCAACCCTGTGGTATGCCTTTCCCCCGATCCGTCTTGTGCACAAAGCACTTCTCAAGTTCCGCAGGGACAGAGCGGAGGTAATTCTGGTGGCCCAGCATGGCCCTGACAACACTGGTACACCACACTCCTGGAGCTGTCAGTGGACACTCCCATCGAGTTACCACTGCATTCCGATCTGATCACTCAGCACCACGGTTGCCTTCACCACCTGGATCTCCAGTCCCTCCATCTCATGGCCTGGAAGTTTCATGGTTTAACCCCATGGAGTTTCTGTGCTCAGAACCAGTAAGGGAGATCCTACTTGGCAGTAGGAAACCATCTACTAGAGCCACATATCTAGCTAAGTAGAAAAGTTTCACTTGCTGGTGTGCCCAGCAGCGTACCCCTCCACTACTGGCATCTGTATTACTCATTCTAGAGTACCTTCTGTACCTGAAACAACAAGCACTGGTAGCATCATCCATCAAAGTACATCTTGCTGCTATCTCAGCTTTTCACCCAGGAGCATCTGGCCGATCCATATTTGCTAACCCCATGGTAGGCTGTTTCCTCAAGGGTTGGGGAGTGATCCTCAGATCAGACAGCCTGTCCCAGCGTGGGACCTCAGTCTTTCCTCTCCAAATTAATGGGGCCCCCTTTTGAGTCAATAGCGACTTGCTCCTTTCTCTATCGTGAAAGGTGGCCTTCCTGGTGGCCATCACATCGGCTAGGAGGGTGTCAGAGCTAAAGGCCCTAACTTCTGTTCCACCCTACACGGTCTTCCACAAGGATAAGGTGCAACTCAGGCCTCACCCAGCCTTTCTTCCCAAGGTAGTGTCACTCTTTCATACTAGCCAAGACATTTTCCTACCTGTCTTCTATCCTAAGCCTCATGCCAGTAATCAAGAGCAGAGGCTACACTCATTGGATTTTCGGTGAGTGCTAGCATTCTACATCGAGTCCACTAAGCCGTTCAGAAAGTCGAACCAGCTGTTTATGGCGGTAGCAGACCGGATTAAAGGACTCCCGGTCTCATCTCAAAGAATATCTTCCTGGATCACGTCCTGCATCCGCATATGCTACGAACTGGCCAAGGGCCCAGCCCTGGCTCTTACGGCACGCTCCACGAGGGCACAGGCCTTGTCAGCGGCGTTCCTGGCCCAGGTCCCAATACAAGAAATGTGCAGGGTAGCAACGTGGTCCTCGGTGCACACGTTTACCTCTCACTTTGCTATCACCCAACACGCCAGAGATGATGCAGCATTCGGCAGAGCGGTGCTCCAATCAGCGATTCCTTAACTCCGACCCCACCTCCGGGGTAGAGCTTGGGAGTCACCTGATTGGAATCGACAAGCACTCGAAGCACTCGAAGAAGAAAAAACAGTTACTCACCTTCTCGTAACTGTTCTTCGAGATGTGTTGTTCATGTCCATTCCAATATCCACCCTCCTTCCCCACTGTCGCAGGAGTCGGCAAGAAGGAACCGAGGAGGCATCGGGTCGGCAGGGTCATATATTGAGCGCCCCTCTCCATGGATCACCACCTTGTAGTGGTGGAGAGGCTTGCGTGTCTCAATGACCCCAAGAGCGATGCTGCCTGGAGTCATGTACTCCCTTAGGGTCACCCATGGCAGAATGGTCAAGGGCGAGGTTCCAGACAACGTGTGATCCAAGAAGTCACTGACAGCAGAGCAGACGGAGGATAACTGCACAATGGAGGTGAAACTGTTGTGTAATGTTACAACGGCTGTGAAGGGGGATGAAGGCTGCAGCAGATAGAGGATCTCCAATCGTCATGGTGTCCATGCCATTGGTTTCAAGTCCTCTATCTGTCAAGGGTAGTGTGATGACTGTTGTGCACCAGTCTCCCCACTTTAAAAGAAGTCCCACACCGGCATCTTCCAGTTTTTGGGAAAATAACATTTGCATAAGTCTAAAGTCCGGTGGCGATTGGCGACGGGAACAGGACAGTGAAATCCAGAAGTTCCTAGTCACAGACTGACACACAGGCAGTGAGTGTGTGGTACAGTCGTCTTGCTCGAGGATTGAGGCGGGTCGAGCATCTCAGCAGCTGCACCTGCAACTGAGCAGTCCTTTTTAGGATCCACTCTGCTCACCCCACATGGGGAGGGGGTTAGAAAAAGTACCCTAAAAATAGCCTTGCCTCTGTTTCTCCTGGCTGGATAGCCGCATCCAACAGGATCACCACCTCAGTGGTCGAAAATGTAAGAAACTTTTCAACTTTGGAACTTGGAACATACGTACCCTGGTGGACAACTCAAACAGCGACTGACCAGAGCGATGTACAGCCATTATTGCTCGTGAATTGAGTCAGTTTAGCATCGATATTGCTGCTTGGTCTGAAACTAGAAGAGCTGATGAAGGACAGGTAAGGGAGGAGAAAGGAGGATACACCTCCTTCTGGAAGGGAAAATCTATAGATGAACCCTGAAATAATGGAGTAGACTTTGCTATAAAGAACAAGCTCGTAAGGTGCCTCTCTGAGGTACCAGTTGGCATCAATGAGCGGTTTATAACACTCCCATTGAGGCTCACCACAAATCAACAGACAACTATTGTGAGCGCCTATGCACCAACACTGGATGCCGATGAGAATGTAAAGGAAGATTTTTATTCTCAGTTGGAAACCATTTTATCTGAGACCCCTACAGAAGACAAGATCATCCTTCTGGGGGATTTCAGTGCATGTGTTGGACGAGACTCAGACCTGTGGGTGGAAACAATTGGGAAAGAAGGAGTTGGCAAAAGCAATTCAAATGGAATTCTGCTCCTGACCAAGTGGGCTGAACATGAACTTATTATGAACACTCTTTTCCGACAAAAGGAAAAGTTCAAAACATCTTGGAGATACCCACAGTCAAAGCCCTGGGATCTCCTTGACTACGTCCTAGTTCGTGCCCAAGACCGTAGTGATGTACTTCTCACAAGAGCAGTGACAAGTGCTGATGACTGTTGGACTGATCATCGCCTTATTCGATCCACAAGGAAAATTAAGATTGCTCCCAAATGGAGGCTGCAAAAGAAGCAGGTCAGGTGCAAGCTGAAGGTTCAAGATTTGAAGGACCCTATTAAACGTGACCACTTCCAAGTAGTCTTAGAAGAAAAGCTCCCATCAGAGTTTCCGGGAGAAACTGAGGAACATTGGAGCCAGTTGAAAGCAGTCATCATCAGTGCCTGTGAGGAAACCATAGGCTACCAAACCAGAAAACATCAGGACTGGTTTGATGAGAATGATGTCGAAATTGAGTAACTCATCAATGAGAAAAGAATGGCATTTTGTGCTGGGCAGAACAACATACATTGTAATATAAAGAGAGAAGCCCATGCCAAGGCGAGGGCGGAAGTCCAACGTAAAACCAGAGAACTTAAGAACAAATGGTGGACTGAGAAAGCGCAAGAACTCCAACATCTCGCAGACATCCACAATACATGTGGTTTCTTTAGTCACCAAGGCTGTTTATGGGCCAAGTTGTCATGGTCTGAATCCTCTTCGCTCTAAGGACGGAACCACATGTCTGAAGGACAACGAAGCCATCAATTCTCGCTAGAAAGAACATTTTGAAGATCTCCCTAACTGTAATTCTATGGTTGCAGACGAAGTCCTTGAGCAAATCCCTCAATGACCATTTAGGGATGAGCTCGGAGACCCTCCCAATTTGTATGAGGTACACAATGCCATCAAGCAGATGAAGAACAACAAGGCAGCAGGTCTAGATGGGCTCCCCACTGAAATCTTTAAAAACGGTAGACCAGAGTTAATTCGGCAGCTTTACCTGCTTATCCTTAAAATCTGGATAAAGGAGGAGATAGGGGATAAAGTGGATTGTGGAAATTATTGTGGTATCTCCCTCCTAATCATTGCAGGCAAAGTTCTGTTGCGGATCCTTACAACTCGCCTTCTGCCCCTTTCAGAAGAAATTTTACCGGAGTCACAGAGTGGTTTCTGACCATGTCGTAGGACTGCGGATATGATCTTCACAGCACAGCAGCTACAAGAAAAGTGTCGGGAGCAAAACCGACGACTGTACATAGCTTTTATTGATCTAATTAAAGCCTTTGATTCAGTGAATCGCCGTGCCCTCTGGACTGGACTTTCTAAGATTGGATGTCCTGATAAATCCATCAATGTCCTAAAATCGCTTCATGATAACATGAAAGCGACTGTTCTGAGCAGCACTGGCTCCCAGAGTGAACCTTTCAAAGTACAAACAGGAATCAAACAGGGCTGTATCATCGCCCCACCCATGTTTGTGGTTTTTATTGCCGTCATTCTTTACCTAATTGCTGGGCAGTTTACAGCTGGCGTTGAAATCATTTACAGAATGGAGGGAAAGCTGTTCAGTCTTAGTGGGCTGAAAGTCAAGAGTAAGATTTCCACAACATCTATTGTGGAACTTCAGTCTGCTGATGACAACGCAATCTTCGCCCACTCTGAGAAAGATCTTCAAACTATCTTGTGTTTGCCGATGCTTACGCATGTCTTGGTTTCACTCTTCATATCAATAAGACTAAAGTGCTCTATCAGCCCTCTCCAAATGAGGTGTTACATGCCCCATCTATCAAAGTCAATGGAGTGGCACTGGAGAATGTCGATCATTTCCTCTACCTTGGAAGTCATCTTTCATCCAAGGCAGATATTGATGCAGAAATTCAACATCGCCTGAGCTGTGCCAGTGTAGCTTTTTCTCCTTTAAAGCACAGGGTTTTTGAAGATCAGGACATTGGAACAGACACCAAGCTTCTTGTTTATCAAGCTGTTATTCTCCCAACACTGTTGTATGGGTCCGAAACTTGGACAACCTATAGACACCACTTGAAAGTCCTTGAGAGGCACCATCAACGCTGCCTTTGTAAGATTCTGAAGATCAAATGGGAAGACAGGTGCACCAATATTAGTGTTCTGGAAGAGGCAAAGACCACCAGTATCGAGGCAATGATCATCCATCAGCAATTCCGCTGGACTGGTCATGTTGTCCGGATGCTAGACCATCGCCTCCCAAAACAGGTCCTGTTCTCTCAGCTGAAAGAAGGGCACCGTAACATGGGTGGACAATGGAAGCATTATAAGGACTTGCTGAAGGACAACCTAAAAAAAAGTCATATTGACATTGATACTTGGGAGACACTTGCCCAGGATCGCTTAAAATGGAATGAAGTCCTACGTGATGGTCCCCAGCATTCTGAACTTGCTCGCCGACAATACGAAGAGGACAAGAGGCCCGGGAAGAAGGAGAGATTGGCTCCCAGTCATGGTGAACAGCCTCCCGCTGAGCCTGAAAACATCTGCCCTCATTGTAATAGAACTTGTGGTTCAAGGATTGGCCTTATCAGCCACCTGAGGACTCATAACTCCCATGGAAGATGATCACACTCGGTAACGAGTGATCGCCCATCATCATCATCATACTGAGCGCCATGAAGGCGCCACTCCAGGAGGCTCCACAGCTGCCTCGACGGGAGCTGCTAAGGGAAATTTTTCCAAAGACTGTGCACACAGTGCGCGCACACCTGATTGGAATGGACGTGAGCAACACATCTTGAAAAACAACAGTTACCAGAAGGTAACTGTTTTTTCCCCTGATTGACGGCAGCTACATGCATGGAAGCTGCCTTGCCATAGTGGTGTCTGCGCTGGGGGTTTTGTCAGCAGAGCTACACTGGTCAGGGCTGTGGTTTCTTCACCTCCCCCCCACCCGACCAGCGTTGATCCAGCTTTTCAGTGGCGATCCAGCCAGCCCCAAACACCAAGAGGGTGGGGGTGGCAGCGTGGATGAACCTGAGATGAAGAGAACACGCTTCCCTTTGACAAGGGTAAGAGCTAAGCCTGTCTCCTTGCCAGCAGCCCTCCACACAGCTGCTCGCTGCGAGGCCCTCCCTGCATGAAGGAGCAGAGCCCATCCACGTCCATCGGATGGCCCCATCTCAAGAGAGAGCCTATGTACTAAGAGGGGATGTCTGCTAGTGTGGCTTGGCCAGGCCCTGGCTGGAGAACTGGGGGAGAGGGGGCCATGCCTCTCTGCTCTGCTGCCTCAGAGTCTCTTACTAGTCTCAGACCTCCCCTCCCCTCTCCTGGGGGATCTTAGGAGGGCAGTGCAGAATGGGAGCCGGGAGACAGCAGAGGGGGACACTGGGGGTGGGGGGGGACAGCCGACTCTCAGAGACTCTCTGAGCCCCCTGCAGGCCACCCAAGATGGCCCCCATCCTTAGGACACTTGCCCTGTCCCCACCCCACACTGGTGCAAGGCATGTGCTCCCCATCCCCGATTGCATAGGATCTACAGTCCCTCATGAACCCACCCCTTGGAGCTCCCTGGGGTTGAGCAGATCCCGGTGAAGCTCTCTGTAGGCTAGCTCCCAGTTGTGGTTTGCTAAGGGCATGGGTGGGGGGTGAAGGAATGGGTGGATACCCCTGTCAGAGCAGGCCTGCCACAGCTCCCAGGCACTGGTGGCTGTGTCCCTGGGCTCAAACCCTCTGCCCCCGCTGTTTGTCTGCTCCCAGAAGAGCGTCTATGGGAGAGTAAGCTGTGTCACCAGCACAGCCCTGGGCCTGAGCGCCTATGGAAGGCCCGGCAACCCCAGCCCCTGCTTATCACCACGCTGACCCCGCCGCAGCCCCAGAGACCCGCTGGCACGTCGCCCATCAGAGAGCACCCCCTGCCCTTCCATGCTCAGCTGGACGGAGAGCCCCACGGCAGCCGGCATGCAGGTGAGGGCAGGGAATGGGCTGGCGCCGCGGGGGGGAGTGCCCTCCTGCAGGGGGACGGCGCACTCAGGGCAAAGGAACAGGCCAGGCACCTGCCATCGTCCACGGTCGCCCCCCTGTCCACCATCCCAGAGCTTGGCAGAGCTGGGCTGTTCCTGGGAAATTCCTCCCCCCCCCGAGCCCTCAGGGCCTGGCAGAGCTGGGCTATTCCTGGGAAATTCCTACACCCCCTCACCCCCAATGCCTGGCTGGCAGAGCCGGGCTATTCCTGGGAAATTCCTCCCCCACCCCCACCCCCAGAGTCTGGCAGAGCCCTGTTCTGGGGAAATTCCTTCCTCCCCTCAGTGCTTGGCAGAGCTGGGCTGTTCTATGGAAATCCCATACCCCCCACCATGAGGATGGTGGTATTCGGGCCCTATTCATAGGTGCTGGAACAAGGGGTGCTGGGGGTGTGACCGCACCCCTGGCTTGAAGTGGTTTCCATCATACACAGGGTTTAGAGTTTGGTTCAATGGCTCTCAGCCCCCCCATTATACAAATTGTCCCAGCACCCCTGGCTCCATCCCTGCTGCAAGGGAAACACGGTGACCTCACCCCCATGGGATCTGCATGGGTCCCCACTAGGGGTAGCTAGTGGGAGCGAAGTGTGCAAGAGGAGTCTCTCTCCCGTCAGGGAGGGAGCTGATGATCTGTGGTGGGGCAAGGGAGAGGAATCTCTCCAGTCATGGCTGTACCCTGGAGGGGCCTGGGGGTCACCTCTCCCCTCCCCCACATCATGGCCCTTCAGGCCCTGCTCCCGTGGAGCCGCCCTGAGAGCCGGAGCAGGTGTTGCTGGATCCTGTTGCTTCTTAGTGCTCTGACCTTTGCCTCTCCTCCGTCCCTAGGCAGCTCAACGTTGGCGCAGTCTGGAGCCACGGTTGGAACCAGCCCATGCAGGTAGCGTGCTGGGGCCCGCACCCAGCCAGGGCTCCCTACTCTGGCGGGGTAGGTGTGCAGAATGGAGGGGACGGGGTACCCGAGGCGGAGCCCAGCCGCTGCCCTGAGGGGGTCTGACTGCTCAGCACACCCAGTGGCCCCACTACTGCCCCCAGCTTCCCCAGCCCTAGAGAGCACCCCTGCCTGCTTCGCTCTGCAGGGACCCAGCTCCAGTGGGGCTCCTTCGGCTCCGGAACTGAGGAGGCAGGACCAGAGCAGTCAGTGACCGGGGACTGGGACACTCTGAGCCTTCGACTGGCATGGAGGCTCCGTAAAGAAACAGCCCAGGGGTCTCTGTGGGCATACATGCCTCTGAGTGCAAAGGGGGGAGGGGTGGGTAAATGGCAGGGTCGAGGGGTCGGTCCAGCCAGCGATCCTTCAGGAACCGGAAATCCAGGCCGAGCAAAGCCAGCGAACCTCAGCCAGCGACATGCAAAGTGGAACTTAGCTCAGGGTAGAAAAGCTCCCAAGAGGCAGTTCTTCTTTGAGTGGCTACAGCCGTGTTTCCACTCAGGTGCGTGAGTACCCAGCACACCAAAGCTGGAGAACTTTGTGTAGCAGTACCTGCTGGGGCACATGCACCCTGTCCCTCCTCAGGCTCCCCCTGAGGCTATAGAAGGGCAGTCATCCCCCCCACTCAGTTCCTTCTCGCCATCCACAGCCTGATTGGCAGTTCTTCATGGTTATTGCACTACAGCGAGATCATCCTCTGTGCTTTGTAAATAGTTTTAGCCCCGTTAGCTAGCTAGTTAGGGTTAGTAGTTCCATGAGTGGTTGGTTGGTTAGTTAGTAAGCCTGGCGCTATGCCTTCACCGAATTTTAAGCACTGCCCTTCACATGGCTGTCCCATCTAGTGACCACCACATTCGATGCTCGTTGTGCCTGGGAGAGGGGCACAGGAAAGAAAAGCGTTGGTTGCCGGAGACCTTCGCCTGAAGTAACACCACAAGGAGCAGCTCCAGGAGGATCTGGGAGCTTGCACAGCTCACCTGGCCCCACAAACTACATCAGAGCTAGTGCCAATTTCTGATAGACAGCCAGACTCAAGTTCTTCTCCACAGGGAAGGGACCATTCTCCTGTCTGTGGTCCTCAAGGAAGAGAGCTCATAAAACTAGTCAGAGCCATTCCGGGGTTCAGAGAGACTCTTCCTTCTCTTCTAGGAGGAGTGCGGGGCATTAGCAAGACTCCTTGAGTGTCCAAAATAGAGCGGGACGAGGACCATCTACCCACTCGCTAGTACTGAGAAGCGAACTGACCAGTACCAGACCGTCAATTCCGCAGGATGTCTATTGAGTCCGGTGCCAGCACATTGGCACTGACAGTATTGACCACAAGCTTTTCAGGCAGCAGCTGCTTTACTCTGCCTCTCGGTCCCAGATTCACCTCTGATACAGGAGTCCTCAGCTGAGGGGATGCCCCCTGCAGTCCTGGGCCAGTGTGGGTTGGTTGCTTTGGACTATGGACAGTTACTGGCTTCTCCCTTGTTACCAGTTAAGAAGCCCACCAAAGAGGTGGATCCGGTCCCATCATCAGCACCAAGACATCTTGCTTGGGTACCGATACCGTTTTTGGCTCCAATGATAGCTCTAGTCCCAGTCTCCACATCTTCAGTAACGAGCCAGTCTTCGGCTAGGGTACCGACCTCCACCCAGAACCGACAGCCTTTCCGGTACTGCATTTTAGTGCAGCCTCAACTTCCCAAGCAGTACACATGGCACTGACTACTGTACCATCCTTGGTACCGGTCCAGTCCCCTTACTGGACCTCAAACAGATCGGGATACTTGGTGGGCCTCTCAGGTTTAGCTCATCTGTTGACTATTTGGGGAGTTCCTTGCAATCAGGCTCAGAATCCTTCTCTCTCTCTCCCATCTCCTTCCTCCAGAAGATCAGCAGCAATACCAAGAGAACACCGTTCCCTCAGCAGGGACACAAGTTTTTGGCCTGGTACATACTGGCTTCCTGTACCACATTAATTTCCTCTCTGGCCTTAGAGTGCCCACCGCTCTTCAAGATCTCAATCATCAGCTCACTCCAGAGCCAGGAAGTGGAATCCTTCTGTTGTCTCATTTCCTGGCCCACCGAGACTGGAGACACAAACTGATACGGCTCCAACTGAGTCTACTACAGCAGAGTGACCCTTTATCACGGGGACAAGCCTTACCATAGGGGAGTCCATCTGTTCCACTTCCTGTCATCCTCCTCACCAGACGATTCCACCAGAATACTTTAAGTCTCACCAAAACTCCTTAAGGAGGATGACTACAGCCTTGGGCATCCAAGAGAATACCAATAAATTGGTGGATATTCTTCAGCCCCAGTGAGGGCAGCCCTCCCTATAAGTGATGCTGTTTCGGAGCCCGCAAAGTCCTTGTGGCACACGCCAGCTTCCTTACCTCCCACAGCAAAGCACACAGACACGCGGTACTATGCCCCCAAGCAAGGATTTGAATGTTTCTACTCTCGTCCGGCCCCAAACTCCTGTGTGGTAACTGCTGCAAATGAGAGGCTGCGATGGGGGGTGGGTGGGGGTGGGGTAGGGTGCAAATCAACATACAAAGAAAAGGGGACCAAGAGAGCTGGTTTAATGGGGAGAAGATTTATTCTACCTCCTCGCTTCTCATGCGCATTGCTAATCAGCAAGTGCTTTTTTCTAAATACGATTTTGTAAACTGGGACGCACTGTCCCAATTTACTGATGAGTTGCTGGAGAATGCCAAGGAGGAGTTTAAGGCGTTCCTGGCAGACGGTCGTCTAGTGGCTAAGATGTCACTACAATCGGCGCTTGATGCAGCAGACGTTTCCTCCAGGATTATGGCTGCAGATATAAGAATGAGAAGAGCTTCTTGGCAAGAGAACTCTCGGGTAGCTCCCAACATCCAACAGAATATAGAAAACCTCCCCTTGGCTGGGCGGTTCCCTCTTTTCTGAAAAAACGGATGAAACTACATTCTTGTAAGGACTCTTGAGCTTCAGTGTGTTCACAGGGAGTCAGAGTCTATGCCCCAGCCATTAAGAGACGGCATTAGAGGGAACAGCAACAATACCATCAGTACTGCCACTGCGATTTCAGGCAGCCAACTTATCCTTCCAGGCAGCAAGACCTTTCCAGGAGGAGGCACAAATTACAGAGGAGAAGTTCCTCTGGTTTCACCTCTAAACAGCTGGCTCGTCCCCATCAGCTTAGGGCAAACAGACCATTTGACTCATTCTCTCAGTCAGCATTCAGCCATCAGTGATCTTCCAGTCATATCTCCCACCACCTCCCCCTTGGTGACAGGCTGTCCTACTTCTACACTGCTTTGGAAGCAATAACCACAGATAGATGGGTTTTGAAGCACGGTGGGACTGGGATATGGTGTCCAATTCCTAACCATCCCACCCTACCCCATCCCTTTTCAGGGACCCATTTCATGAGTCACTGCTCCTTCAAGAGCTTCAGACTCTATGCGCTTCAAGGGCCATAGAAGAAGTTCCCCTCCAACACTGGGGGAAAGGGGTTCTACTCATCTTACTTCCTGATACCCAAGTCTAAGGGAGGGCTGACACCTATACTCGGCCTCCAAGATCTCAACAAGTGCATCAAATATATGAGATTTGCATAGTCACCCTAGTGACAGTTCTCCCCTTGTTGAATCATGATTGGTTTGCTGCCCTCCATTTTCAGGACGCTTGTTTCCATGTAGCAGTGTTACCAAGATAATGGAAGTTCCTCAGATTTGTAGTGGCAGATCAACATTATCAAAACACTATACAGTAGCACCTCTGAGTTATGAACACCAGAGTTACGAACTGATCCATCAACCACACACCTCATTTGGAACCAGAAGTACGCAATCAGGCAGCAGCAGAGACCAAAAAAGAAAGAAAACCCAATACAGTACAGTGCTGTGTTAAACGTAAACTACTAAAAATATAAAGGGAAAGCAGCATTTTTCTTCTGCATAGTAAAGTTTCAAAGCTGTATTTAGACAATGTTCAACTGTAAATTTTGAAAGAACAACCAGAACGTTTTGTTCAGAGTTACGAACAACCTCCATTCCGGAGGTGTTTGTTACTCTGAGGTTCTACTGTACTCCCTTTTGGCCTATCCTCAGTCCCGGGTGTATTCACCCAGTGCATGACTCAGGAGAATGGAGATTTGGGGCTTCCCTTACTGGACAATTCGCTAGTGAGGGGCAAGTCTGAAGGCCAAGTCCTCCATCACATCCAATTCAGACTGTGTCTCTTCAATCAATTGGGGCTCATCTTGGACAAAGGAAAGTCTACATTTCTTCCAATGCAAAAAATTGAGTTCATTGGGGCCCTACTAGACTCTACAAGTTCAAGGGCCTTTCTCCCTCATAAGTGGTTACAAACAATTTGGCACCTATGTCTGTCCCTCAAATCTCACCCCTCAATCACAGCTCATGTATGTTTGAGGTTGCTAGGCCACATGGCGTCATGTACTTATATAGTTCAACCTGTGAGAGTGTGCCTGTTGAAATTGGTTTATCTCAACAGCCTAGTCTGAGTGCCTCCAGTGGTCCTGCAGTCGTTAGAATGGTGGACAGATCAGAGCAATGGATGTGAGAGAGTCTTTCAATTGTCCTTTACTGACCAGGACCATAGTTACTGATGCCTCGGCGATAGATTGAGGAGTGCGTTTGAAGTCTTTGAGAGTCCACGCTACGTGGACAGAACAGGAAGCATCATTATATATTAAGGTCCTTAAACTTTGAGTGATTTACAATGTGTGCTGAGTTTTTGCTTCTCTCCCATCAGGGGTGTGTCTGTTTATATGAATCCTGACAATACCACTGCAATGTAGTGTGTGAACAAACCAGTTCAACAAACCACTTCAATCAGTTCTGTTGGGAAGTGATAAAGTTTTGGCACTTTTGCATCAAGAAAGACATTACCGCAGCTGCCCACATTCCAGGTGCCCAGAAGCAATTGGCCAATCAGCTCAGCAGGAATTTCTCCAAGAATCATGAGTGGTCTGTGAAGAGCAGCATCCTGAGGTCCATCTTCAGGAACCGGGGCTTTCCATCTGTCAACCTATTTGCAACAAAAGACAAGAAGTGCTGTCAGTTTTGCTCTAGAGCAGGTCACAGTCCAGGCTCTCTGACCAATGCCCTCAACTGAATTGGGGATCAGCCTTCCCCCCAGTTCTGCTTGTCCCTCAGGCCATTCTCAAAATGAAGATGGATCAGGCCAAACAGATACTCATTGCACCAGCCTGGCCAAGACAATGTTGGTTCTTTGGCCGTCACAACCAATTGGTCCAATGTCCTGTCCTCTTCCTGGACCTACTGTCTCCACACCAGGGCCAGCTGTGGCATTCAAGTCTTGGTAGTTTGCAACTCATGGTATGGATGCTGCATGGTCAGATTAGGTGGAAAAGAACTGTTAAGAAGCAGTCCAACTGGTTCCGCTAATAATATGAAGCTATCTATTAGATCAGCCTCTTTGGCCAAGTGGAAATGCTTTTTAGGTTTGTCATTGACTCGGGGAATTCGATTGGTACTAGCGCGGATTCAGGACATTTTAGATTACCGGTTACATTGTAAACCATGGGGCCTGCTCTCAGTCATTGAGGGTCAACTTGGCACAAGTCTCAGTGTTTCATCCCCTGATCCACGGGAAGTTGGTATTTTCCAACCCCGTGGTTGTTAGATGCCTGCAAGGTGTTGTTTGCCTCTTCCCACCTATAAAGAAACGGAACACTGTGCTTGCTGCCCTTGAGCCTCTAGCAACCTGTACTCTGTCCCTCCTTTGCCAAAAGACAGTCTCTCTTATTGCTATAACATCAGCAAGGAGGGCGAGTGAACTCAGGCCCTAATGGCAGGACCTCCAGACACTGAGCTAGTGAAAGACAGAGGAGCCTTAAGGCCACATCCAAAATGTTTGTCTAAAGTGGTTTCACCACGTCACCTTAACCGAACTATTCAGTTGCCTGTAATTTTCCTAAGCTGCACTCCGCTGCAGATGACCAGAGCCTTCATCTGTTGGATGTAAGATGAACCTGGTTTTCTGTCTGGATGGGACTAAGCCAGTTTGATTATCACCCCGACGTGATGTCTCCTGTGCAGACCAGATGAGCGGTCAAGTGGTTTCGGTTCAGACAGTTTCCAGACAGATTACTTCCTGCATTACGACAGGGTGTAGCAAACACCAGCCTCAGGGTTGTTCCCATATTAGATATATGCAGGGCTGCTACTGAGTCTTCCTTGCCCAGCTTTACCAAACGACACGGTCAGGACTGCTTCTAGGGCGGAAGTGAACTGTGGAAAAGCAGTTCTGCAGTCATTATTTAAATAGACGCCGAGCCGGTACGGCTTGCAAGTCACCAGCATGGACTACACATCTGCAACCACTGGAAAAAGAAATGGTTACTTATGGTTACAGTAACCGTTGTTCTTTGAGAGGTGGGTGCAGTCGTGTACTCCACAATCTGCCCTCGGGTCCCTCTGCATCGGAGTCTCCAGACAAAGGAATGCCAGTGCGAAGGAACTGACGGGGGCTGGGGTGGGGTCCTGAAGGTGCGTGCAGTACCCCAAAGGGCATTGCTACACAGAGTTCTCTGGCTTCGGTGCGCTGGGCATGGAATGCGTGTCTGCCCCCACCCCTTGGAGAACAACGGCCACAGTGCAGGTAAGGAACTGGTTTCCCTGTAAGCCAGTCAGAAGCCAGCGTGAGCTGGGAGAGGGATCGGAGTGCCATGGATACTGGGCTTCAGTTTTCCCTGGCCGCATGCAGAACGCTAAGAACCAGCTGATTAGAAAATGAGGTCATTTGCGGGAGCTGAATCCTGGGAGCCCCTTAGCCAAATGACCCCAAATTTGCAGCACAAACTCTACCCCCCACTCCTAAGTGGGCACGGGAGCTTTCAAGACAATCTGAGCATGTGTATGGATTGTAGAATAAACAGACCAGGGCTTTTAACCATGGGCTGTAACTGTAGGGGTCCCAGTGACTCCTAGGCCAGGCTGCCATGATGGTGGGGGTGATCTTGCAGCACCACCTACTGAGCTGTGCTCTAATGGGTGAAATCTGGGGGAGCCCTGCCTGAGGCAGCCCTGGGTTAGGCTAGGGAGCCTTCTCCCTGGGGAGCTTTCTGGGAAGGGGGGGCTGAGTTCTCCTCCTGTGACTGATGGCTCCGATCTGCCTCCTACCTCTGCAGCCCACAGTGGGAAGGGGGGGGGGGCTTGTTCCTGGGATCAGAGATGCCCCCTGATGCACCAGTGTAAGGGGGGAGTGGGGAGGCAGCGTTCAGTGGTATGAGCACAGAACAGCTCATTACACTTCCCCACAGAGCCACGTTGCAGGGGGATAGGGTCGGCCTGGTCTGAGGCACTTCCCCTCTGAGCCTCAGCTTCCTGCTCCAGGGGGTGCTCACTCTCTGCTATCTCCAGAGGGATGGGGCTCTCCCCCCAGGAGCCCCTTCCCTCCAGCTCAGCGGCATTGCCAGGTAACAGCTGGACAGGGCTGGGAAGGGCCAGAGCCTGGCCTGTGACACCACAGGGTCTTCCTGGGAGTGTGGGGAAGTGTTGGGGGGACATTGGCCATGGGGGGCTGTGGGAAGAGCGAGCACACAGGGGAGGGGACAGGATGGAGAGATAGCAACCCAGGGTGGCAAGGGAATGGGGCAGAGCCCTGGAGTTGTCTGGGAAATGGGGGCAGGGGATGGGGTGGCAAGGGAGCTTGTGGGAGGCCCGAGAGAATGGGGATAGCACTCCTTGGAGGGAAGGAAGTAGGGGCATGATGGAGCTGGGGAGAGGCCCAGGGTGAGCACCCAGAGGGGAGGGGGCACAAGGGACTGGAGAGAGAGCAGCTTACGGGGAAAGGAGAAAGGGGCTTGAAGGTAAGAGGTTGATGGGGTGGGACGGAGGTGGGGGATATGGCGGAGATGATGGGCTCAGACCCAGCAGCCAGGTAGCCCCAAGGCCTGAGCGAGACTGGCCATGTCTGTCCCTTAGGTCTGTGTGGTGGGGCCCCGAGCAGCCCGCTGTGACTCTACTGCTGAGCAGAAACCCCTTCCCGAGACCCCAGCTCCCTGGCCCGAGAGCACCCGTTGGACCCCACACGCTGAAGCGGAGCCAATCGCAGCACCTTCTGCCTCCCAGACGAGTGACATGGAGTGTGCTGGACTTCCAGCCCCCCCGCACGGAGCCAGAGAGACGCAAGAGCCCCTCCCGGCCCCAGTAAGGGGCTGCAGGGCTGGGGCTCTCCCTGCCAGAGCCCCCTCCCTCCTGCTCGGCTGCATAGGCAGGCTCATTAAAGGGCTTTGGAACAGACATCCGGGCTCCCTCCCTGAAAGGGGCTGTGAAGAGCGGTGGGGGGCAGGACCCCTCTGATGACTGGCTCAGAGCTGCCGGCGGCGGGCAGGGGAGCCCACAGGCTGCTCAGGGCTCTAGTGGGTGGGGTGGCTGTTCAGAGCGCAGGCCGACTGCGCCACGAGCATTGCTCCATGGCCTTTCCTGCGGCAACCGGCCGGCCTGCGGCAAGTAACACGCGCACACGGCTGCTATCAGCCCACGGCCCTGGTGCCCTGTCCCTGTCTTCCGCAGGGTGTTGGCTCCATCTGGCCCAACCCATCAGCACTAGGGCCTTGGTCCCCCCTTCCCTGTTCTACGGAGCCTCCAGGAACGTGGGCACTACGAAAATAAACAGAACCTGCCTCACAGCAACTCAGGCAGCTCGGGCCCCTACTGCTGGGCATGGCCAGGGCTGAGCTTGGAGGGGTGGCCGGGCTCGGGCTGCTTCATTCTGCAGAGGCAGTGAAGGGATCGAACGTGCTCCCGTGCGGTCAGTGCCTGGGGTGGGGGGTGGGGGTCTGGGCCCCCCAAGGAAGGAGGCGGCTTCCAGGCCCTGCCCCTCCCCTCGAGCAGCTGGAGACATGTGGGAGCCAGACAGTCCCATCAGCCCAGGCATGGGGGGGGGGGGAGCAGGCAACTGGGACGCTGAAGTGGAAGCAGCCACCTCAGGCAGAGCAGCCGGGGGATCCCACCGGGTGTGATGGATCCTCCATGCTCAGGGAGAAGCTACATGAACCGCAACAGGGGCTGATTGTGCACAAAGGGGCGGGGGCGGGGGCAGGGGGACTGGCTGCAGGAAAGGCAGCCCCTCCCCCACCTATCCAGCCAGGGCTACAGGGGAACCAGCCCCCCCATGTCACTCTGTCCCCCACTAGGTTTGCCAACTTTCTAATTGCACAAAACCAAACACCCTTGCCCCACCCCTTTCCCTGAGATCCCACCCCTGCTCTGAGGCTCCACTCCCTGGCTCTCCCACCCTCACTGGACTGGGGCAGGGGGTTGGGGTACAGGAGGGGATGAGGGCCCAGCTGGGGGTGCAGACTCTGGAGTGGGGCCAGAAATGAGGGGTTCAGGGTGCAGGAGGAAGCTGTGATGGGTTGAGATCACAGAGACCCCTTGGGCACTGCCAACTGATGTGCTGAGACTACCTCTGCTTTCCCTGCCAGCCTGGGACTTCAGAACCCTGCCTGGTTGTGCCAGACATGCCAGCCTGCTACAACACAGACCCAAGTCTGAGCAACATCCCATAAACCGCAGGCTTAACTGAAAACAACTGAAGTGTTCCAGTCTCCAACACTCAGACGCCCAGCTCCCAATGGGGTCCAACCCCTAAATAAATCCGTTTTACCCTGTATAAAGCTTATACAGGGTAAATTCAAATTGTTCACCCTCTATAACACTGATAGAGAGATATGCACAGCTGTTTGCTCCCCGGTATTAATACACACTCTGGGTTAATAAATAATTAAAATGTGATTTTATTAAATATAAAAAGTAGGATTGAAGTGGTTCCAACTAATAACAGACAGAACAAAGTGAATTACCAAACAAAAAAAAATAAAAAAAAAAAATAGCAAGCCTCTGCCTAATACAGTGAGGAAGTGATTACAGATGAAATCTCACCTTCAGAGATGTTCCAATAAGCTTCTTTCACAGACTGGATGCCTTGCTAGTCTGGGCCCAATCCTTTCCCCTGGTACAGCCCTTGTTTTAGTTTAGGTGGTAGCTAGGGGATTTCTCATGACTGCAGCCCCCTTTGTTCTGTTCCACTCCCTTGATATATCTTTTGCACAAGGCCAGAATCCTTTGTCCCTCTCTGGGTTCCCACCCATCCTTCTCAATGGGGAAGCACCAGGTTAAAGATGGATTCCAGTTCAGGTGACATGATCAAATGTCACTATAAGACTCCAAGCCCTTATTCCTCCCATCCTGACTCACAGGAAGGCCTACAAGCAAACAGAGCCATCCACAGTCAATTGTCCTGGTTGATGGGAGCCATCAAGATTCCAATCTACCATTAATGGCCCACACTTTGCATAACTACAATAGGACCTCAGAGTTATATTTCACATTTCTAGTTTCAGACACAAGAGTGATACATACCTACAAATAGGATGGCCACACTCAGTAGATTATAAGCTTTGTAATGATACCTTACAAGAAACCTTTTGCATGAAGCATATTCCGGTTACATTATATTCACACTCATTAGCATATTTTCATAAAATCATATAGAGTGCAACATCACAGGAGCTCAATAAACCCTCCTGTTTTACACTGGCTGAGAGTCACTCTGATCTAGAGAAGAGGGTTGCATTATTCCCTCTGGAAGTGGAGGCCCCGAGGGTCCAGAGCGAGTGGAATCCCTGAGGGGGCCCCACGGCAGAGACAGGTGTGCTAAGGCTCAGAGAGGTGCGGTTCCAGGAGGTGGAGGGGCTTAACCCCCGAGAGAGAGAGTGGACCCCCAAGAAGGGCTGTTGCGCTGAAAGGGGTTCCCCCCACAGACCGCACGGAGCCAGGAGAGAGCACGAATCCCGTGAGTCCATGACGACGTGGTAGCAGAGGATGGTTGGTGGATGCACCCTGTAGACAGTTGGCTGAGAGCACAGGCACTTTGCAGTGGGTGGTTGCCCGCGATAGAACAAGGGAATTGAAGGAACCAGCAAGGAAAGGGCCTATAAGCAACTCTGTAAGAGGGACCTGGCACATCTGTGCAGGGAGAGAGGGCTGAGCATTGGGAGACTCACCCAGGAGCTGCTGATTGCCTGGCTGGTAGAGAGTGACCAATCATAGGAGCCGGTTCCAGATCCCAGCGGGCTTCCAGGATGCCCAGAGAGACTGGGAGTAGCGGGGGCAGTTGGGGTAGTAGCAAGGGGTCCACCGGACCAGTTCCCCAGCCAGGATGGGGGCTTCCCACCTGCGTTCCCCCCAGTGGATGTGTAGAGTGAAGGATGTGGAGCTGGAAGAGCAGAGTCTAGCTGACCGCTCGGAGCGGTGAAAACATGAGCTGGAGTTAGAAGAGAGACAGGCCAAGAGGACCTGCTGTGGGGTAAGTGGAGAAGGACCCTAAGATGCCAATTCAGGAGTGCTGTCCCTGTGGGTGCTCCATGTCAGGTGGCGGCGCGTCCCAGCGCTGTCAGAGATTTTTGCTAGCGCAATAGCAGTCTCGCGGCACAGCTGGTGCCTCTTCTAGCACGTGCACGCCCCAACCCCTGCAGTTCCTTCTCAACGGTCCCCAGCTTGAGATGGCGTCTGTTAGTGGTGTCACTACGAACATTAATATTGAGTGGTTAGATAGCTACTTTAACCCTCTTTATTTCACAGTTTAGTAAATTCTTAGTTAGCATTAGTTATGTTTAAAAACAAAACCCTTTCACTTCCCAAATTTCCCAATAGGGATGCCTTAAATATGCCTGGATCCCCAGCTGCAATGCCAATATCTGACGGACACCCCCTTTGTGTCCGATGCCTGGGTAAGCCGCACATACCACAGAAGTGCGTTCACTGCAGCAACCTGAAGACCAGGGCAAAGAGAGATCAGGATCTCCGATAAAACTCATTTTAATGGAGAAATCCTTAAGAGTCTGGGCACAGGGAGCTGCATTCACACACAAACAGGAGTGAGATGGAAAGCCACAAACCCCTCCCCATGTGTCTATAACCTGCCCGTAGCGACCAGCCCCAGGGGTAGCGCCAGGGGTAACAGACACCTCACTGCATCTACAGGGAACCTGTGGGCTGGGTTCTGATCTCACCCCCTGCGGTCAATCTGGAGTCACCTCTGACTGCAATGGGGACGGGGTGGGTTCTGATCTCAGCCCCTGCAGTGTCAATACAAGGAGGTTGAACTGAGTTTTGAGGGAAGGTTCAGGGCTCAGCTCCTCTTTTCCCCTCCCCTTCTCCTGCCCCCCCATCCCCGGTCCTGAAAAGTAAAGTTTCTCCAGCCCCACAGATACTCATGTCCCAACACCCAACTCCACATGGCCAGGCAGCAGCCTGGAAAGGAGACAGGTCGTTATGGACCAGATCCCAGAGCACCTGGATCCTACACCCTGGTCTCAGATCTGCCCCATGGGCAAATGCCCTGGTCTCAGATCCTGCCCCCCGGACACACACCCTGGTCACAGATTCCAGCCTCATGGGCACACGCCCTGGTCACAGATCCCACGCACATGGGCACATACTGTGGTCTCAGATCCCCCCTATGGGCACATGCACCTGCCTTGAGTCCTGGGGCTACAGGAACTGGCCTCAACCATCCCCGCCCCAAACGGCCCATTTTCCACTGCTACCCAGGAATTATAGAGACACTCTCCTATTTCCCCAGCAGCACATGTGACTTCACCCTCCCCTGAGGCTTTCAGCACAAGATTCCTTCTTCTTTCTAAGAAACCCTGAAAGAGATTCTGCCACATCAAAAAAATCATTCCCCAGTAGAAACGGTGCAAAATTGTGTGCCACCCCTGCAATAATTAGTTCAGCCTGCAAATCACCAGTTTCCATGTGTACCTTAGCTAAAGGTGCAAGGACTTCGTAACCTCCCACCAATTCTAATTCTGCCATTTTTCCTGGTAACAAATCCTTCTCATGGATCAGGTCCCTCCTGACCACAGAAATTTCTGCACCAGTATCCCTCCAACCTTGGAGCACTTTTCCATTAAGCTTAACAGCATGCACATGCTCACTGCTTGGTTGTGTAGAAGACCACCTTGGGACTGTCACCGGTGCACTGAAATTACCTCCGATCCCATTTTCCCTGCCAGCTTTGGACTTCCAGAACCTTGCCTTGTTGACCCAAACACACTAGCCTGCTGCAACACAGACCCAAGGTCCAAGCCACGCCTCCAAAGCTGCAGGCTTTAAGTGAAATCAGCTCTGCAGGTTCCCTGACTCCAGCACCCAGACACCCAGCTCCCAATGGGATCCAAACGCCAAATAAATCCATTTTACTCTGTATAATGCTTATACAGGGTAAATTCATAAACTGTTCGCCCTCTATATCACTGATAGAGAGATATGCACAGCCGTTTGATCCCCCAGGTATTAATCACTTACTCTGGGTGCATTAATAAACAAAAGTGATTTTATTAAGAATAAAAAGTAGGATTTAAGTGGTTCCAAGTAATAACAGACAGAACAAAGTAAGTCACCAAGCAAAATAAAGCAAAACCACCCAAGTCTAAGCCTAATACATTAAGAAACTGATTACAGATAAAATCTCACCCTCAGAGATATTCCAATAAGCTTCTTTCACAGACTAGACTCCTTCCTAGTCTAGGCCCAATCCTTTGCCCGGTACAGTCCTTGTTAGTTCCAGCAGACATCTTAGGTGTTAACTAGGGGTTTTCACATGACTTACCACCCTCTCTGTCCTGCTCCATCCCCTTTTATAGCTTTGGCACAAGGCGGGTGTGATGGGTTGGATCACAGAAACCCCCTTTGGGACTGCCACCTGATGTGCTGAGACTACCTCTGAGCCCGTTTTCCCTGGCAGCTTGGGACTTCAGAACCCTGCCTGGTTGTGTCAGACATGCTAGCCTGCTACAAACACAGACCCAGGTCTGAACCACGTCCCCCAAAAGCCGCAGGCTAACTGAAAACAGCTTTAGAAGTGTTCCTGTCTCCAACACCCAGATGCTCAGTTCCCAGTGGGGGTTTCTGTGATCCAACTCATCACAGTGGCGTAGTCGGCAGGGTCTGTGCACAGCTGATTGCTTTGAGACGCGGGTAGTGATTTTAAGTGAGTTTTGGGTGTGGTGGCTGGAGAACAGACAAAGCGGTTACTGGTTTGTTATTTTCTGTTTGCTTATTTCGGGGAAGGGAATAGAGGCAGGAAAATCAGCATCATGAGTGAGAGTGAGGCTCAGAAAAAGCTGGAACTGCACAAGTTGCAAATGGCTGAGAAAGATAATGAACATAAAAGACAGATGGAATTAAAACAAAAGAAAATTAATGCAGACGCTGCCAGGGAGGAAGCTGCC